ATCCTCCTGTTCCCCCATGGCCCTAGGCAACCAGTAATCTCCTTTCTACCTCTACAGATTTGCCTATTCAGGACATTCCATATGAATGAAATCATACAAGATGCAGTCTTTTGTATTTAGCTTTTCCACTTAGCATAATGTTTTCAAGGTCCATTCATCTTGTTGTATGAACCACTACTTCATTCCTTTTTGTTGCCAAATAATCTTCCATCGTATGGGTAGACCACATTTTATTTACCCATCCATCAGTTGATACACATTGGGGATGCTTCCACTTTTGTGGCTGTCATGAGCAACGCTGCTATGAGCACTCACGCCAAGATTTTACATGGACAGATATTTTCAGTTCCCTTAGGTATATATTCAGGGTTGGAATTGCTGGGTCACATGATAATTCTATTTTTAGCTCTTTGAGGAGCTGCCAAATTGTTTTTCAAAGTGGCTATACCATTTTAAGTTCCCACCAGCAAGGCATAAAGATTCTAATTTCTCCACATCAAGCCAACACTTGTTATTATCTGTCCTTGTGATTATAGCCATCAGAGGGGATGTGAAGTGGTATCTCCTTGCAATTTGGATTTACACTTTCCTGGTGGCTCATTGTCTTAGTCTGTTGTAAAAAATAGTTCAGTGACTTCCACTATAAGCCACAGTGTCTTACTTTGACTTCTTTGTGCTTCCTAGGTGACAAACAGCCAATGTAGGCTTTACTACAGCAAGACAGCTGCCTGAGAAGGTGCTTTTCAGCCCAGGTCTTTGTGATAGCATGTTGCATAGCATTTTGCAATGAGAAAGAAGAGGACGAGTGCATTAGGAACAACTTGCTTATCTCAAAGCAAGAGCATCAGGAAGGCAGACATCATGCTAACTAACAATACACTGAGGGAGGGTTTCAGAAGCTAAGCCAAGAGGAAAGTTGAAATCCAATCCATCATTAATTTTCTATGTGAAATCAAACTCTAACACTCTTATCACCCATGACATCAGGAATGTCACACACTTACATACCACCTACGTGGAGTCCGGGACGGAGAAACTACAAATGGCATCAAAAGAGCAGAGCACGGGCCCTGCTTCTAATTTCTGATCCTAATGATTTTAAAAAGTCACTAACTTTAGGTTAAATTTTTTTATAAGATAGAAAACATAGTTTCCCTATGGGTTTATTGTGAGGGTTAATTAAGATAAAGTTGTTGAGCCTACTTTATAAACTGTAGAACATTATATAAATTATTATCATCTGACAGTTATTAATAGTAAGAATAGCTTACATTTACTGAAAATCTGTTTCATGCTGGGGCTGGACTTCAAGTCCACCAAATATGGTGTCTTTATGGTACTTAGAAAAAGAAATCCCAACCTCATGTGACATTTTTCTTAATTTAGTGTATTATTACAGAATCTGTATAGCCATCCATGGGCAGCAGCTCTGGCTGACATCATGGTATGCTGACAGGTTCACACCCACCCTGGGTGTCAAGGCACACCACCACTAGTGGCACTCATACTCAGTGTCGCCAGCTATGCAGATGGGGGGAGGGGCAGACACGGGACTCTGAATGCAGCAGACTTCCAAAGACTTCCAAAAGAAATCACCTCTGGGAAAACTCAAAGCACAGTTGGGTCAGGGCACAACCTCACAAACATGCCTCCCAAGTGAGCATACATGTGCCCTACCCAGTGTGGGCATGGCCATGCATGGACGTGTAGATTCAGCACCTGAGCTGTCACATGTGGCCACATGCAGCTGAAGATTTGGCTGGGCTAAAAGGCTAAGACAACCTCACTTCCACGTCTCGCAGCTCACCAACCTGTTGGCTAGGGCAGCCCATTTCTCCTCCCTGTGACTTCTCAACTTTCAGTAGGCTAAACTGGCTTCCTTTCATGGTGGTCTCAGGACCAAAAAGCAAATACATAGTCTTTGGAGGCCTAGACCCCAGAATTCCCATCTCACAGTGTCACTTCTGCTACAGTCTAAGTCAGTGCTAGTCATAAAGCCAGCCCAGATGCAATGAGGTGGAGGTATAGACTCTACCTCTTGATGTTGTAGAACATCATTTGTTGTCTTTAATCCACCCCACCTGTACACAGGAACCTTATTTTAGTTATAACAATGCCATGAGCTTACTGCAATACCATGAGGTCAACTATTATTTTATCAATTTTTTAGATAAGGCAATTAAGACCTAAACTTAAAAGAACAGCTTGTGTGGCAGGTCCAGGTTTGAACCAAGGTCTGTCTAACACCTGCTATTGAACCTAGAGATTTGAATCTTGTTTGCTGTGATCAAAGCTCCTATGGAAATTGCACAGTCCTCCATGAAGCTACAGATGAAAGACTAAAACTAATGCTAAGTTTAACAAAAACTGTAGCAAGAGCTCTAGTGGGATAGATTATTCATATTTAGAATGTTGTAAAACATTAGAGCATGCACATTCTGAAAACTCAAATTTCATTTGGATTTTAGAACAGATAGCCAGTTTAGCCTGCTGGGAGCATCAGTAGATAGATGTATTACAGCACCTCAAAGAATTATAAAAATTATCTTCCCTTTTCCAATGAAAATTTTCAGGACAATTTTTAGAGCATTTTGTTTTCTAACAAGCTAACCAAAATTTGTATTGATTTCTGCATTCAACACTTTACCTGTAGAGTTATCGTTGATGAAAGTTTGAAACATCTTCAAAATTAACACTGATAAAGGTAATATAAGCCTTTTTTCTTGGTCATTGATAATTTTTATGTAATTTTATATATATGTAGAAATTTCAGTTGTCATTGTCATTTTCAAATTTATGATCAGAATCAAGCATTTTCAGATTCAATAGCAAAAATGAACAAGAATCAAACATATTTAGTAATGACCTAACTCTACTTTCTGCTCCTCTCACCATTAGGTGGTCAGGACCTCATCTAACAAAAGTTACCAAAAATAATCTAATGTCTAATGTAAATATAGACACATACACATAGATATATTTAGACATAGATATGTAGATATATAGATATATATTGAAATTTAAGAGACTGTAGGTGTGAGAGACTGAGAAACTGAAGCAGTGTTATACTGTTGATTAAATCATGAAAAACAGGCCAGGCACAGTGGCTCATGCCTGTAATCCTAGCACTTTGGGAGGCAAAGGCCAGGAGTTTGCAGTGAGCTATGATGACGCCACTGCACTCTAGCCACAGAGACAGAGAAAGACCTTGTCTCAAAAAAAAAAAAAAAAAAAAAAGTGTCAGGACATCAGGACTCAAACAAATGATTCCTTTTAAGTATACTTATCCAAGAGATTCAGCTTCCCCTTTGGAAGCTCTGGTCTCCAAGTTTTCCCTTCCCCTAAGGTCTATTTCCCTTGTATAGAAATGGGTTCTAATTCAGGCCAATTACAGTCACAGAATCGTGCCGTAAATCTCAAAGAAAACATGAATTTTTCCCATTTACCTGAAGAGCTTAGTTAAATTGTTTAGGCTAATAGAGAAAATGTAGAGGTTCTATGACATAGGCAACAATTTAGTCTTGGTTTTAATTTTGAGTCTCTCATTTATATTTTGATACACTTTAGTCACCTCAATGGAAGTATTTATTCAAAATGGTCTTCTAGAAGAACCACAGAGAAAACATATCTCTATCTTTATGGATTAGGTAGAAAGCACAGCACATAAACATCGTAAGATCAAATATACTTGAGCTCTGCAAATGACTACCTATTTGATCTTGGGCAAGTCACTTTGCCAGTTCATGCCTCAATTTTCCCATCTCTTAAACGAGAGGATGAAGCTGGATACCTTCTCAGCTCATTCAGCTCTGATATTATTTGATTCTAGTGCCAGTGCATAATTTCATCATATATTCCACACATTTTTATTTCAAAACACATTGACATCATGTAAAATTAGGTTGACTCAAGTTCCTTGTGTAAACAATTGTGGCTATTGCCAAAATTTCCTAACAAACAGAAAACAAGTGTGTTTCAAGTTCTTTCCTTTAATGCTCTGAGCACATTTTTGATGTGTTGAAAAACTGCAAGGTATTTCTGAATGCTGCTCTTTATTTGACTCATTAGATCACACCAAAAACATTTCACAGAGCCTCTTTCCTACCTTTTCTGGAACATTATTCAAAGTCGAACAAAAATATTTGAACAAGATGCCTTGATTTTAAAAAAGTATACATCTGTGTTACAGAAAAAAGCAAGCACACAAACTAGATGTTAATCGTTCTGTTTGATAAACCAAAGCACATTGATAAGCTCCTGCCAAATAGTTGAAATGTATTATAAATGAGTATAACCGTTGTTGGACAGTGTGCTGGCTGAGCTGTAGAATGTAGCCTGGAGGCATCTGTAACTAGATAGAGATACCAGAGGATACAGGGTTCTTAGGAAAAACCACAACTGAAATTGTGAAATGTTTTGGAAAGCAAGAATTCCAAACTATCATCTTCCCAGCAGATCTGATTACTCTCATGTGTTCTGATTTCACAGCAAACACAGATCCAGTTGACATTTGGGGAGAAAGTTTCCCAAACAAACCATTTGTGGCATTCTTGGAAATATTTCTGGATGGTTATGCATCATGGGGAAGCCTAGTATTATCGTAACTCAATTTTGTATCCACTGAGTTTCTTTGATGGAAAGGAACCTTGAGTAAGGACACGATCTCAGACTTTCACACACACTGCCCGTCAGCACACGGCCTGGTAGCCACTCGACCTTCACTAAAGCCCTAACACCAGGCAGCTTGACCCAAGACACAGCAGGAGTCAGCAGCTCAGGCTGTTTCTATTCTGCCTGAACGTCCCATGCGACTCATCTGAATACGAGCTCCCATGTCTTTGCAAGCGACTTGGTGTTTGAGATAAGCCCAGGCGGCCAGGGAACAAGTCTTCCCTGTCCTAACCTTGCCTCCACACAAAGGCCATGACAGCATGTTTTGCGATGGGAAGAGGAGAAGGGCATCCATGTATATCCTCACTAGAAGTTTCTCTGGGCCTCACCTCAGCAGCTTGAGAGTCCAGCCCTGCACATGCTTTCTCTGATGTCCACCGCTGTCTTCTACTTCAAATGCACCTGTCTTTTCTTTCCCCTTCTGTCCTTGTGCAGCCAACTCAGGCACTATCACTTTTCTTCTTGGTTTTACCAACGTAAGTACTTGTAGGGGCCCATGGAAAGATAGGCTTTTTCCGTCTTCAAATGAGCAAAGCAGAACAACCCTGTGAAAAGGATGGCAGACTCAGACTGGGGAAGGAGAAGGGGAGTAGCAAGACACGTGCAGCTCCTGCCTCAGCAAAGCTACCGGTAGTACCTCCCTCGCTGCCCTTCACTCCTTACGTTCAGTGCCCCAATTTTCTCTGACTCAATTTTCATTCAACACCAAGTTGCTCTGCCATCTGAAGGAGTGGCCTAGACATATCAGTTTGTCTACGTCATTCTTGTATTTCCCTTTAAGTCTTTAAGAAAGATCATATAGCCAGTGAATAATACCCTTAACAAGAATTTTTGTTTTGCATGAAAAGTCTTTTCTTTTACTAAGATAACAAAGGGAGCTTGGCCTTGGGACACAAAAAGGGAGGAACTTCCTCTACTCCCAGGGCAAGTGCTCAGAGACTCGAAGAGTAGTCCAGGCACAACATACGACTGAGACAAGAAACCCTCTGGACCCTGTTACCAGCATCATGGCCAAGCCTTGAAAACTTTGGGGACTGGGGAGACAGATTTCTTTTTCCACCCCTACACAAAGAGGAAAAACTACTACTGGGATAGGATCCGTGAAGGAAAGCTGTGAAGGAAGCTGTGTGCTTCTTCCATGGAAAAGCCCCTGATTTAGAGACCCAGCCAACCTCCAACTTCAGTGTTACTTACAAGGAGGCCAACCCCAGGGAAGCTGGACCATCTGGATTTCAATAGGTCACAATTGGCTGCAATATCAACAATAGCCCCAAACAAGAACTCCTCGGTGGGCTGACCCAGATCCCAGGCTTTTTCTTCTCTGCTTAAGGTGTAGTAATCAGGACTGACCTTTGGTCTGTGCCATAATTACTGCTGCTCTTGGGAGTCATCAAGTGAAATCCCAGGAAGGAAAAATAAGGCATCCCTTGGTTGCAGGGGACAAGTGCTCTGATTCATTGAATTTATTTATTTATAAATAAAGTCTTGCTCTGTCACCCTGGGCAGAGTGCAGTGGCATCATCGTAGTTCACTGCAATCTCAAACTTCTGAGCAATCCTCTTGCCTCAGCCTCCCGAGTAGCTGGAACTATAGGCACATGACACCACATCCAGCTGATTTTTCTATTTTTAGTGGAGACAGGGTCTCACTCTTGCTCAGGCTGGTCTCAAACTCCTGAGCTCAAGCAATTTTCCCACCTTGGCCTCCCTGGAGTGCTAAGATTACAGGTGTAAGCTGTAATCATTGAATTACTCCATGCCCGGCCCAGGGTCATTGAATTTAAATGCGTAAGTTTTATATCCCAAACTGGGGAAATAAGGAATATTGATTTCAGGATATAGTCTTAGTCCACGTGGGCTGCTATAACAAAATGACATAAACTGGGGAGCTTAAACAAGAGAAATTTCTCACAGTTCTAGAGACTGGAAAGTCCAAGATCAAGGAACCAGCAGATTCAGCGTCGGATGAAGTCCTGCTTCCTGGTTCGTAGATGGTGCCTTCTCACTGTGGCCTCCATGGTGCAAAGAGCCACCCTTGGGCCTCTTTTATAAGGGCACTGATTCCTCTCATGGGGGCCCCACCCTATGACCCGATCACCTCATGAAGGCAAAGGCCCCACCTACTAATACCATCACTTTGGGGATAAGGATTTCAACATATGAAACATTCAGACCATAGCACAGGGTGTAGGGGCTCAAAGTCATTAAATTTGTATAAATTTTATATTCAAAACTTGAGAAGTAAGGAATATAAATTTCACATCTGTGGATTTTGGATTGTCCAGCATCCATTTTCTACCAGCACTCTGATTCCTTTTGAGAATTTGTTTTTCCATATTAGACACAGTATGGTGGGACAGTAACCAGGTGCCATTGCCCTTCCCTGCCCAAGGGACCAGCACAGGATTCCACTTCAGCCAACTGAATGCCCTTTGCCCAGCGTTTAAATCTGAGCATCGGGTCAAAGGGCCTGGAAGTGAATAGAGCCCACTCCAACCTCATGGGTGCTTCCGGCTGGTCTCTGAAACGTCCTGTTTCTTTGCTCCGGAAGCTGCTTTATGCCTTGCCACTTCCCTAGCATGTCTTCAAGGCTCCTGGCAATTCTGTGAGCCTCAATATCCTTCCAATAAATTCCCCCCAGCTTTAGTTAGCCACAATTCATTTCAATTGCTTGTAATCAAAGGCATGTAACTAACACCAACATTCATGCAATGACCCACAGTTTACAATGCATTTATTCATTTAGTACCCCGTTTCACTCCCAAACACTCTGACATTAGTAGACCAGATATTATTCACACTTTGTATGTGGGAAAACAGACTCAAAGGGTTTAAACAACTTGTTCATGTTCTCCCAGTAAGAAAGCGTCCCCCAGCTCAAAACTTTTAGTGTCACATCCAGTGCTCTTTGTCCCGTGGTAAGGTATGAGTTTCTCATCTGTTCCCCATAAAGCAGCAAAAGGAAGACAAGTTAATTGGAAACACCCATGTTCTTTTGCGAGCATTCATGAGACTAATATAATGGGCCTCTTTTAAAAGTTTTCTTTTAATGCACAGGGCTCTAGAGGTAAAAAACATTCTTTAATATACTGTAGCAATGTTAATGGAGTCAGATCACAACAGAGTGACATATTTACATTTGGAAATAGTGAAAGTAATTACAACTGGACTCTGATGCCACCTGCAACTGTTGCCTTTTAGAGGAGAGAAACCTAAGTCCATCACCACTCTAGAAAAAAATGGCTTCCTCAAAACACAAATATACATGCCTGTGTCCCCAAAGAGGACTAACGCTAACCGGGAGGAGCCTGAAAACTGGCCGTGCCTGGGCAGTAAGTATCTGAACGTTATTCCTCTAACTGTGGAGAATTCCAGGCTTTTTTTTTTTTTCTTTGAGACAGAGTCTCACTTTGTTGCCCAGGCTAGAGTGCCGTGGCATCAGCCTAGTTCACAGCAACCTCAAATTCCTGGGCTCAAGCAATCCTTCTGCCTCAGCCTCCCGAGTAGCTGGGACTGCAGGCATGTGCCACCATGCCCAGCTAATTTTTTCTGTATATTTTTAGTTGGCCAATTAATTTCTTTCTATTTTTTTTAGTAGAGATGAGATCTTGCTCTTGCTCAGGCTGGTTTCAAACTTCTCATCTTGAGCAATCCTCCTGCCTCGGCCTCCCAGAGTGCTAGGATTACAGGCCTGAGCTACCGCGCCCGGCCCCAGGCTTTTTTCCTTATCCATAAGGACTAACTTTAAAGTGTCATCCAAATTTAATTGATTATTGCAAGATTTGTCTGAAGCCAATAATATTCTTTTGATACTTAAAATTACTAGATAATTTGTCTGAAGTCACATTTCATATCCTCAGCAATGTTTGGTGCTGAAGGCAAATACTTTGGTCTAGAATGACCTCACTGAGAAACCACCCAAAGGATAGGCCCCAACCAACACCAGAACTAAACAACAGGGATCCAGACTGTCCAGCCCCAGCATGGCTCTTAGGCTCCTCTCGTGGAACAAGTGTTTCTCATCGAAAAGTGCGGAAAAACTCACTTCCTGATATTGTCTGCTTTATTATCCTGCAATGTTTCTCGATTTAAAAGAAGGAGCCCTTCATGAAAATGTTTGAAATATAAGCGCTAAAGAAACAGACACGACAGGAACCAGTTCATAAACATGCTGAGTTCATGCAGGCTTTAAAACTTTTTATTTATATATAAAATGTCTGCTTTCAACATCTATCCTAGGCCCTTTTATAATAAGAAACACTGTCTAGATAAAATGTATTTTACAAATATTAGCCATTTCATGACCTTATATAGAAAATATAGAAAAAACTTTTCTTTCAAAGTCCCAAAATACTAAAATCAGATGTTCTTTTACACTTGGGAAAATGTGAAAAAAATGTTCCTCCTTAATTTGTGTATATAAATACAAATCGGACTACTTGAAACTCTTGGTATCACTCACACTTGAGTACATATTAACTGACTCTGCCATTTGTTCTGCTGGATTGACTTAATGTGCTTCTTAATTTTTACAAAATCGATTTATGGAAGCAAAACTATTAATAAAATCTCTATGACCCTAAAATGTAAGTCAAAGTCTAAAACTGACCAGCAAGCCAAACAAATACATGAAGTAAAGCAGAAAAAAATAAAAGGATTTATATATAAAGTGGAATGATCACATAATTATATGATGTTTCAAAGGGGTGTTTCCAAAACAACTATGAGAAGAGATCTATGAAACTGTTCTTTTTTATTTCTAGATGAAAAGCAGATCTAAAATAGTTCTTAGAGTGATGTTTGCACAGCACTAAGTTCAATGAATGTTACGGCTGCAAATCAAAGGGGACACCTCTCTTAACTGTGCCTTCCTTTCATGAGGTTTCTTCTTCAAGCTTAGCAGTTTGTTACTACTTCTATTGTTGATTGCTATACATACATGTATATCAATCCCTATTGTAGGGCAAGCACATGGTTAAAATTCCTGTGAATAACAACTACTCTTAATATGTAAGCCAAACATTGTCAAAGCAAATAAAGTGTATTAGAAAATCAAGAGGCTAATTTGTAGGGTGTGATTTGGGGGGTTGGGAAGGGGAGTATTGTTGAGATAGGTATTTTTTTCTTTTGCTAGCTCTCCTCTAAATTTTGATATTGTAAAGAGTACATTCCTTTGCAGCTTTTTAATTCTCTTTTTACTACATTAAAAATGTTTTATAAATAATAAGAGTACACAAATGTTTTGGGAATATACTTTAATCCTGCTTTATCTGGGGTGGAAGGGTGAGAAGGAGGTGGTGCCCATAATTTGCTTGCTTTCTCTGGCCTATTCTGTGGCTCTCTGTTGTCTTCACATCCGACAGGCTCTATCTAGGAATCTAAGATGTTGAAATGGATCAAATTTCTTTTTCCCTTTCCCCAGGTTACTGACATTTGCTGTGAAGGGCGAGTGATTACTAGAGAATTGGGAGCTGGAAACAAGGAGCCAGAGGCTGGATCTCGGACTAATACCCTCCATTCATCTGGAGAGAGCAGTGGGCAAGTTCTGAGCTATTCGTCTACATAAATAACATCGCCACCCACCTGGCATTTCCTCAGAGGCAGGCCTCTGATAGCCCCTCTCTAGTTCCTGCAGAGAACAAATTCGAGTCCTACAGCAAGTTACCTTGTGGTGTTAGATATTCTATTTTTTACAAAACGCTCATTTGTGGAAAAGAAAACACAAAGTTTTAGAATCATTTGGTTTTTACCACTTCTCTAAATATTCTGTTTCCCAGATTCATCACCAACCATTTTCATCAGGCTTGGCTCCAAATACATTTTGACAGTCTTCCAAATCCAAATGTACCCTCGAAGGATGAAAAATCACTGATAACATTCTTTTGAATGTGTGGGAGACCGAGGAGAGTGCTGATAACACTAACAATGCAGCCTGGGTGCTAGAGCCAGCTCTTGTCAGAGTGATATTGATTATGCACGGAGGACACTTCAAAGCTAATCAAGACACCCTGTGCCCTACACACACACACACACACACACACACACACACACACACACACAACACACATACACACACACATACACACACATACACACACACATACACACACATACACACACATACACACACACATACACACACATACCCACACACACACACACACACATGCACACACATGCACACATATACACACATACACACACATGCACACACACACACACACACATCTCAAGGTCTTGCAAACAAGGCAAATTATTAGTAAATAATAGTATGCTAAGGTAGAAACAAAGAGAAAAACTTATCAAATTCTGTTATTTTGAGAGAGATTATCTAAATCACCTATTCACATCACATTCTCTGGTGGCAGCAACTCTGAGTCTCACTAATGTTGAAAAGTACATGCCGTATATTTATTTGCATTATATTCCTGGATCTCTATACAAACCAACCTTCCAAATGATGATAAATCTGTAAGTCCTTTCTAATTTTCTCTGTGTGTATGGTGTTATTTCAGGAACCAGGGTATAAGGAGTTTTTACACTTCTTAAAAATAAGAATGTTTCATGTGATCTCTCTTATAGATATTGCAATAAATATATTAGTTCCAAATGGTTGGGTTTTCACTCCCACGTAACTAACTCTAAGGCAACGCTCTAAGTATTCTTCAGCACGTGGAATCTCAGAAGTCCAGAGGGAAAATAAAGGGCAGGATATACGAACCTTAACTCCTGAATGAGCTGAGGTGCCTGGAGTTGCTGACATCCAGGAACGCTTTAGAATGGCATTTCTTAGGTAATTATGATCTCAGCCAGTTCTAATGGAGCGGTAATAATCTGGCAGATCCTGTAGATGGTGTACATTTCAGAGCCCCACAAGTTCCAAGGAAAGAAAGTTATTCTTTTACCTCAGGAAAAAAGAATAATTGACCTATTGGGACAAAGGAGAAAATTGACTACAGTTCCTTTGGCACTAGGGTCCCTTGTCATCTAGAAAATAGTGATTGGATTACAGAGTGGATTAGCATAATTTAGTGGCAAAAGCACTGGTAACCATTTATCTTCTGGACAAATGGCTACTGAACCATGTTTCTTCGATTCCTTCCCTTCTACCTGCCTCAGTTTGGTAGGACAAAAGGGGATGGGGGACCAAAGGAGTACGATGTAACTCTAAAACACTAAAAACAGAAGACTACATGGCACAGGAAGTGTCCCACTGTAAGTAAGGATGACAAGTACTGCATATAGTATCGTTGGGTCTGTAGATTGCGTGTAGCTAAGAAGCGTGGCCATTTTGAATAATTATGTTCCTCTGCATTTAACTAATTTGATGGACTACTTTACGGTTTTAATGAGTCCTTTTTTAAAAACTACAGTAATACATATACAGTATAAAAAGTCAAATACTAGAGGATGGTTTTAAATTTTAAAATATTGTCCTCATCTCATTCTTCCCCCTTCTTCACCCCAGCATCCTGCTTTTCCAGAGACAATCGCCTCAATCTTATTATTTTTAGTTATTTAGTTGACTCTAAATAATATGTTATGCTGAAATCACTGATTTTGGGGGAACGTATTCTATTTCAACTTGAAGATAAAGATTCTGCTAGGTTAAGACTAAAAACCAGCCGGGCACAGTGGCTCACGCCTGTAATCCTAGCACTCTGGGAGGCCAAGGCGGGTGGATTCGTTTGAGCTCAGGAGTTTGAGACCAGCCTGAGCAAGAGCGAGATCCCGTCTCTACTAAAAAAATAGAAAGAAATTAATTGGCCCACTAAAAATATATAGAAAAAATTAGCCCGGCATAGTGGCGCATTCCTGTAGTCCCAGCTCCCAGAGGAGGCTGAGGCAGGAGGATCGCTTGAGCCCAGGAGTGTGAGGTTGCGGTGAGCTAGGCTGATGCCACAGCACTGAGCAACAGAGTGAGACTCAGTCTCAAACAAAGAAACAAACAAACAAAAACTAAAAACCAATCAAAGTGCTAGGATTAATGTGACATGTAAAAAAAATAGTGTTCACAGGAGAGCTAGGCAGTGTGCCAAGATTATGTTTTTCTCTTCACAGATTCAAAGTCATGGCATTTGTGGTATTCAAAGGAGAAGGATCAAGTGAACCAAACAGTCAAATGAAGGACCTTTTCTTAGAAGTCATTAGTTATCAGAAATCATATATATTGAGTTTGCTTTTACTTAGACCGTTATTTTCTTGCAATATTTTTGCTATATTTATTTTGCTTTATTGTTTTCTGAGTTTTATAATTATTTCTCTTTTCTGGAAGGAAAATAAAAAACTCATATGCCTACTTTATCCATAAAATGTCACCTTTTCTGGGAAGCCTCCTTGGCTCCCCAAGGTGAGGTAATGCCCACCTTTAAGCTCCCATAGCATACATTTTTGTCTGTAGCTTTAGGTTAATAAAAGACTAGCTAGAACAGAGTTCTCATTATATTGCATTATAATTATACATTTAGGTCTCTGTCTACTAAGGTAGACTATGAATTCCTTAAAGAGAAAAAAATCATGAAGCTACTGATTGCTTGGAAGCTTTCCACCTTTATGAGACCCACCATTGCTGCAACCACTGGGCTCATAAAGGTGGAAAAGCTGCAACCACTGAACTGTATGAAAACTTGTGTGATCCAAGAGCTTGGACGTTCTGTGTGGGCTTCCTTCCAGGAAGAGGGACCAGAGGAGCTGGAATCCTGGCTCTTTTCCATTCAGACTTTTTCCTCCCCTGCCCCTTCCCTGCCCACTGCAGCTGGGAGGGGAGATCAAGCTGAGACTTTTGGAAGTGGTTGCCTCTCTCCTCCTGGTGTGTCCTCCAGTCTGACATCAACATAGTGGGGGCCACACCTTTCCCCTTGAGGGCCTGCAGTGGACCCAGGGCTGCTGAGTCTGCAAGTTCCCTGCCTGCCAGCACTAGGGGATTTTTCCCCTCCCCCATCCCCGACTGCTTGATTTCCACTAAGTTTTACATTCCCCTGTGCATATGTGTGCTCATCAGTTAGTTCCAGTATAATAATGAGTACATATGGTGTTAGTTTTTTCATACTTAGGATACATCACTTAGGATAATCGTCTCCAGTTCCACCCAAATTGTTGCAAAAGGCATTAATTCATGCTTTTTTACGGGCTGTGCAGTACTCCATGATATGCATATATCACATTTTGTTATTCCACTCATGAATTGATGGGCACTTGGGTTGATTCCGTATCTTTGCAATTGTGAAATGTGCTGCAATAAACATTCTAATGCAGGTGTCTTTTTTTGATTAAATGACTTCTTTTCCTTTGGGTAAATACCAAGTAGTGGGATTGCTAGATGAAATGGCAGGTCTACTTTTAGTTCTTTGAAGAATCTCCACACTGTCGTCCATAGAGATTGTACAGTTTGCAGTCCAACCAACAATGTGGAAGCATTCCTTTCTCTCTGCATCCATGCCAACATCTGTTGTTATTGGACTTTTTAATAAAAACCATTCTAACAGAGGTAAAATGATATCTCAGTGTGGTTTTAACTTGCTTTTCCCTGAGGATTAGTGACATTGAGGATTTTTTCATGTTTACTGGCTATTTATTTGTCTATCTTCTTTTGAAAAGATTATGTTTATGTCTTTTGCCCACTTCTTAATGGGGTTGTTTGTTCTTCTCTTGTTGATTTGCTTGAGTTCTGTGTAGATTCTGGATATTAGCCCTTCATTGGATGTATAGTTTGTGAATACTTTCTCCCATTCTCTAGATTATCTATTCGCTCTGTTGATTATTTCCTTTGCTGTGCAGGAGATTTTTAGTTTAATCAAATCCCATATATTTACTTATTTAATTATTTTTTTCCATTTTAAAAACTTGTTTTATTATACACTTCTATTAGGATACCTTTCTTAGATCTAATTTTATTGGGGGTGGGAAGCCATACTAAAACAGGAACCTTAGAAACCCTTGAAAACTGTTAGAGTATTTTAGAAAAGAACAAAACAGAACAAAACAAAAACAACAAAAAAGTTAATATGAGTACTCTTTGAGCTTAAAACCTCTAATGCTTGATTTTTTTAATTTTTGTCATTTCCTTCCATTCCTTCACTTCCTTCCTTTCCTCTTCTATTTTTTTCTTGGTTTTTTTCTTTCTCTTTTTATTTCAGAATATTATGGGGGTGTAAACATTTTGGTTACATGAATTGCTTTTGTACAATTTGAGTCAAAGTTATAAGAGTGCCCATCACCCAAATAGTGTGCACTGTACCCATTAGGTGTGTATTTACCTATCCCTTCTCACTTCCTCCCAACTGCTTGGTTTATGTTGAGTTTTGTTTCCATATGTGCACATATGAGTGTTGATCAATTAGTTCCAATTTAATAGTGAGTGCATGTGATATTTGTTTTTCCATTCTTGTGATACTTCACTTAGAATGGTCTCCAGTTCCATCCAGGTTGTTACAAAAGATATTAGTTCACCAATTTTTTATCCCTAAATAGTTCTTCATGATATACATATAACAAATTTTATTAACTCACTCATTATTGATGGGCACTTCCATTGATTCCATATCTTTGAGATTGGGAATTGTGCTGCAATAAACATTCTAGTACAGGTGTCTTTTTGATAAAATGACTTTTTACCTTTGGGTAAGTACCCAGTAGTGGGATTGCTGGATCAAATGATAGTTTGATCTTTGAGGTAGATCTGTTTGTAGATATATGACCTTATATGTAGAAAACTCTAAAGATTTCACACACAAAAATGTTAGAACTAGTAAATGAATTTAGCAAAGTAACAAGATGCAAAGTCAACACATAACACACAACATTAGTTGCATTTCTATACACTAACAATGAGCGATCTGAAAAGTAAATTTTTTAAAAATTTCATTTATAATAGCACTAAAAAATACTTGGCAATTAAATTAACTAAAGAGGTGAAAGATTTATACAAAGAAAAGTACAAAACATTGCTAAATGAAATTAAAGACAAACAAATGGGAAACACATCATATGTTCATGGATTGGAAGACAATATTGTTAACATGCTCATACTACTCAAAGTAATCTATAGATTCAATGTAACCCCTATCAAAGACTCAATGATTTTTTTTGGAGAAATATAAATAGCTGTCCTGAAATTCATATTTTAGAATCTGAATTAGTCAAAGCAATATTAAACAGAAGAATAAAGCTGAATGACTCACACTACTTAATTTGAAAACTAGTACAAAGCTATAGTAATCAAACCAGTGTGGTACTGGCATAAAGATAGATATATTGACCAAATAAAACAGACAGCCCAGGAATAAATCCTTGCATATATGGTCAAATGATTTTTGACAAGGGTACTAAGATCATTCATTGGGGAAAGGACAGTTTTTTCAACAAATAGGGCTGGGAAAACTGGATATTCATGGGCCAAAGAATGAAGTTGGACCTTTATGTAACACCATACATATAAATTAACTCTAGATGAATCAAAGACCTAAATGTAAGACCTAAAAAGATAGAACTCTTAGATGAAACTGTAAGGGAAAAGTCTTATAGCATTGTATTTTTCAATGATTTATTAACTATCACACTAAGGCACAGGCAGCAAAAGAAAAACATGGACTTCATAAAAATTTTTAAAAATTGTGTATCAAAAGACACTATTCACAGAGTAAAAAGGCAACTCAAAGAATGGAATAAGTCTCCGGCCACACCGGCCTGAACGCGCCTGATCTCGTCTGATCTCCAAAAAAAGAATGGAATAAAATATTTGCAAACCATGTATCTGATAAGGAATTGATATCCA